TACTTTAGTGAGAAAAATCGAAAAAACGAACTACAAACATACTAACGCCAAACATTTGGTAGAATTTATAGAATATTGTAAAAAGATATATATATCTTCTTTTTCGTGCCTTATCCTTTTGGAACATTGGCGACCATCGACCTCCACAAAACCCAATCTTTAAAATTTTGTGGTAGTTGAAATGAGGTGATATTCAACAAGTGACTCAAGGACTTTCCGAATATTATTCGTTGTTGACCGCGATCTCTTTTCCCTGCAATCTTTCCAGTAGTTGTTAGATTTCCATCTCTTTTCCCTGCAATCTTTCCAGTAGTTGTTAGATTTCCATTCTTTCTTTCAGCATGAGGTGACCAAAAAACTTAAACTGCCCCGTCGGATTATCTGTAGTAATTTCCTCCTTTTCATATACATTTATTACATATATGAGGTCCAACTAATTTTCATAATTCTTCTCAAAAACCACATCTCAGCAGCATCAATCTTTTTTCCATTTCTTTAGAAATTGTCCAAGACTCAGAGCTGTAAGTTAGCACAGGAAAAATGTAACACCCTAACAATTATAATTTTGTTGATATTCTAATTTCACTGTTGGTAAGGATGTTTTTTTATTTTAAAGTATTCATTTTTCGCCATAGCTATCCTTCTTTTGATATCCATATCACATTTACAACCTGAGGTAATCAGACTTCTGAGATAATTGAAACTGAAGAGAATGGTATCATTTATGCAGCTGAGGTAACTATTTAGGTGGATGGAGTAGCCAAGGATGATTTTGTTTTGCAGGTTATTAATGCTTCAATTTTGTTGAAAGGATGTGGGTGGCTTTTGAGATAGGGCTAAAAAGAGTTTAAAAGAGTTGGTGGTATTGTGGACAGTGGGTTGCAAAGGTTTCCGCGTTTACTTTGTACAACCAACATCGCCTGGTCGTTTTGCCAAATCGAACAGGCGATACAAATTGATACCACTCACCCTTTCAACCGGGTTTTGCCTACGGAACAGTGTCTGCCAGCATCACTGCTCTAGATGATTCTTTTGGTTGTTGGCGTGGAGGCAGACCCGCCTTGCACCTCATGTGTTGTTGACGATATCAGCGCTTATAATTAAAACAATTTCGATTTAAATTAATATAACTTAACATTCACGATGCTTAACATTTTTGCCATAATTATAAGCAAAATTTAACCAAGTAAAATTATTTTTAACAAATCCGAAAATTCAATAGAGAAATTTAAACCGTTTTAACATCGCTCAACTGTGACAAATAAATTTCGCCCACATGATATATATTATATTACCTGAAGCATGTTATATTTTTTAGTGCTTGATAATTTTTTTTAGATATTTCTCGGGTAATAAAATAACATCAAGGAAATGATAGAATTCTTTCCTTATTATGAGTGTACTTTGTACTAAATACCATACTTTTTTCATAACGTAAACCAACACTTATTATAAATAAATGAACGATAAACCACCAGCATAGATCTGCAGAATTCATACATGGATGAAAAAGTTGAAGCCATGGCTGCTCTTGGTGAACTGGCACTGAACACAGAGTGAGCTATTACAATGTCACTGTTGTAACAAACTACGTGTAGATTGAATGCACTTTTAATTTCGTTAATAATGGAATAATTTAAAGTGGTTATTAAATTTAATTTGATGTTTTTCTGACTCACATAGAATGTCACAATGAACTGACCGTTCTCTTTTCGTAACCATAACTTTTTAAATTGAATTATAGAAATAACGATTGTGTTGAAAAACAATTTGTAAAATCCACAATTCATCTTTAAATATTGCGTCATACACGTGCAAGTTTGCATAATTTTGTGATTGATTTGTAATTGATTAATCGCTAGAGTTGCATTTGCATCATACCTGGAGGAATCATTCAAGGAGAGTAGCGACCTGCTCACCTATCCAGACTCAGACATCAAACGAACAGCAGCTCTTTGTGTTGGACAGCTCTGCTCTGCCACATACAAACTCATCAAATTGAATGCAGAAATGGAAAAATCTTGTTAGATTTAGTAAAATTTTATAGTTTTTGCTTACATTTACATTTATCTTTTTGTTGGTCAACTTGGATATTGAATTCCGCAACCTTAAATAGGCAGCAAGTGCTTCTGGACTTTGATAATCAACTGTAAAATCCATTTTATTTTTTTGCGCAATAGTTTCGAGCTAGTTATGATCATACTAACAGTTAAGTAAAAGAACTCTATGTTTATTGCTTTCAGTAGCTCTAAACTTGAAATAGTGTAATTTATTGTTATTTAGGTTTTTTATTGTTTTATATAATGATACAAAATTGAAAATCATCAAGTAATTTTAGCTGTTTGTTTATTAAACTGTTTGGTTGGTAATTTATTTTAGCACCCCTCACACTTATTGTTCCAGTATTTTATTATTGAGTCCACCATTAGACAATTGCAGGATATATTACAAATACCTTTTTCAGCAGACCAGAAGTTGTTAGTTTCAAAACTGACACTGGTCACTTTTGAAAAAGCCGATTTGTTATCAGATTAGAGTATTAACATTATTATTCTTATCCTTTCATTATTTCACATTTACAAAACGATGGAATAAATATGTTTTTTCCAAACAATCACAATCAGTAAGTGGCTTGCTTGAGGCCATGCTGTCAACGTGCATGAGAAGCTTGGTTGAGATGGTGAGAGAGGAAGAAGAAAGAGAGGTGGCAATATCCGTGTTCGAATCTCTCAATGAAGTTATCAAGACTGTTGGTGAGTGTGTTTGTGCGCGCGTGTGTGCGTTTACCTGTCAGGTGTTGTGATTATGGTGAAACTTCTCGTTGATGATTGTTGTCCACAACATTTCTTTTGGTTTCTTCGTGCAATATCAAGCAAGCAATAAATGTTTTTTACGCATACATTTGTATTTTTATTCTATAATTTGTCAGCATCTCTTGAGTAGATCTTGGCAGGCAGTGCTCAGCTGCGAATTGTTAAATAATTGTTTGAAACACTTCAGATGTTTCTTGAACTAAATGTCAACTGAATTTTTTATTTATATCTACAAGTAGTTGTTGCAGTTTCCAGCCAATTGAGCTAATGGGTAATTCATTGCAACTCGGCCACCCGTTCAGTCTTTCCATTAATAACATTCAATTAAACAGGCCCATGATCCCACATGAATATAAGATTTTGTAATCAGTTTGACTTATTTCATTCTCTCAGTTTTTGACGTGTTAGCAAATATGCTCTATCAACACTGAACAATTGCTTTTAGGTAAACCTGCATTGCAAGTTATGGGTTCTGTCAGCGTGATTTTCAATTTGGTTAAAGATGTGGTCAGAAAAAAGGTTTTTAGTTCTTCTTTTTGTTTTATTATTTGTAAATATAAATAGTATCCTAAACATCGGCTCACTATACCATCTCAATTTCTACTCACTCAATCTAAAGCTTGTTTTTGTTAGGTGTTTTGTTATTAAAATTATTTTCACAAGCACCTTTCTTTATATTACTGCGATTAATTGCACAAATTAGTTGAAGTGCCAGGATGGTGACATTGACGAGGAGGAGGATGAAGAGGAGGCTGAGTACGACACATTGTTGATTGAAAGTGCAGGAGACCTCATACCATTACTAGCTAAGGTCGTTCCCTCGAATGAGTTCATCACGTTCTTCAGCGCAATGCTTCCTGAACTCATGAAAAAACTGGTTTGTTAAAAAGAAAATTAATTTACATTAACATTAAACCACATCTTAACAAATCATATTCAAGTGATTGTTTTATGTTTAAATGAATCCAACTTTGGCATGCTCAAAGATTGGTAGGACAAGCAGAGCAGAAATACGAGAATAAAAAGATGAAATGATAGAATGGGAAACAATACAACGATATACAGTTGAAATATTACAAACTACCGGACTTATTGCGCTTTAAAAAATGGGAAAATGTATATAAGAATGACAAAAAGACAACAATTAATAAAACTTATATAAAAAACAATTTATGAAATAACTGGATAATTAAGAAAAAAGATATTAAAAATAAAAAAGATGACATGTAGAAAAAAATCTTCGACTGAATTAATTATGACATATATCAATTAATATTGACATCAGAAAAGATAAAAAAGTGAAAGATAAATAAGATTATATTGAGTTTAAAATATGAAAACATAAATACTAATGAGAATAAAAAATGGATATTTATTTATTTTACTCGTAAACAGTTCCAGAAGATTTAATGATTGAATTAAGGAATTAATTGTATATGTTAAATGTGTGATGGCTGTTTAATGACATTTAAGTTAACATGTGTTGTTTGATGTGGCTTAAATTGGAAATTTATATTCAAACAGATATTTGTGCTTTAATGAATGTTTTATATTGACATAAGTGCCTACCTTCTTATGTTTTTAATCTGTGTAATAACTTTTTAAACTCGATTAATGAACTTTACAGAAAAAGTCATCTTCAGTAGCTGATCGTTCATTTGCCATCGGCACGTTAGCTGAGACCATGCTTGAATTGGGAGGTTAATCTTGAAGATATTTGTTATCAGTGTGTCAGAGTCGGATGAAAAATATCTGACTCCGACTCTTCAAACAAATTCGACTCCAGCTCTTCAAAAAAATCTGACTCCATATAAAAATTTATGACTCCAACTCCTGGTTCCGAATTCCAGAAAAAATTTTCATTTTTTGCATCATAATTTCTTCATCTTATCACTACTAAATAAAAAGTACTTTAAAAAACACTTTAAATCAGTAAATGTAATTGTCTTAGTAAATTTAGTAAATTTACATTTATATTGATGTTTTAAAACATACTGAAAAAAATTTTCATCTTTTGCATCTTAATTTCATTTCTTGTTATCACTAGTAAATAAAAAATACTTAAAAATATACTTACAATCAGTCAATATAATTGTTTTTCTAGATAAACTTACTTTATTTTTATGTTTTACAACAAAAAATTATGTGATTTTATTCACATTATTATCATTTATTTTCAGTATTAAAGGTAATTGCTTATCGCTACATAAATTTATCCTCCTAAAAAACAGCAAAGTTTTCAGATAAAATTTTTTTTAAATAAATAACATTTTTCGGCGGCCGACTCCGGTCCCTTAAAAAATTTCAGCTCCAGATATCATCATTTCAGCATTTTATTATAGAATCGCTTTATTTTGTCACTGGGTAAACGTTGTTTGTAACAGTGAACTACATATTTTGCCAATGTGAACACTTGACCAGCCCACCCGCGGTTGACACATCACTTGTTACTTTAATGCGTTTTTTGTTTATTATAATGTTGTGGATTGAGTGCGATTGCGTGCAAGCTCCAATTTATCTTGGTCGTTTTGTGAAAGTGATTTGTCTACTCTGAAGTATCTTGAGTATTCAAATTTTGAAATAAAAGATTTGTTTATTAATATTATTTTGTGGTTTCTTTTTGAATGTTAGCATTTTGTAATTTTATCGAGTTAGGAAGTACTGTAATTTACACTTTAACAATCAATATTGAAGAAATGAGTATCTTATTCAAATCTCTGCTTTTTTACCTGATCCTCGTTTCAGCCTTTTGATAATCTTACGATAGCTTCTTCAATGTTTTCAATTTATTCCATCTTCCAGATAATGCTTGTATGTTTGTATCCAAGTTGTACCCAGTTATGATGAGTAGCATGAAGGATGACGATGACGAAGTTAGGAACAATGCTGTATTTGGTCTCGGAGTGTTGGCTGCTAATGGCGGACAAAATATAACGAGGTTAAATGTAGTTTTGGTAGTTTAAATACAAGTACAGTAGAAACCAGTTAGTCGGGCCACCTTGGGTCTTGGCCAAAGTGGTTGGTCCAGATATCCGACTTGACGTTTTTCAAAGATGTGACGTGTTATCTTAATTCAGAAATTGAATGAAAATATTGAAATAGTATTTAATAGTTATATCGAATTTAAGAAATATAATACTTTTAAAATGAATAATGAAGTCTGCATTAAATTTGTTAATTTTTGAACAAAATTCTTTTTAATTACATGCACATATATATGGTTATTATTAATTAATTAACTAATTTATTAATTATCAGTCACTATCATGAGATATTGAAAGGGCTTTCTGACGCCATGGTTAAGGAAACTGACAGGAGAGTTGTAGACAACATATGCGGTGCTCTCGCTCGCATGATCACCAGCAACTGTTCACTCGTACCTCTTGATCAGGTTGTTTCTTGTTTTTGCTGTTATCCATTTATAATCTCTTTTATTAAGTTGGTTTGTATTGTACACAGAAAATTATTTGATAAATATTTTAGATGCAGCTTCTGGTATTGTTTAAAATGTGAGTACAGAATTTCTTTTCACCCTATTTTGGGGGAAGCTATCAAACAATGCTTTTTTTTATCTTATAAAAATATTTTAAACTTTTTTCCATATTTAAACTTTTAAACCGTAACAAACAAATGTATTCCTTAAATTGGCAGTTGACCTGTAGCTATTTTAAATGTTCATCAGGGAATTTTCTGCCATCTGTGCATGAGACTTCCTTGAATATTTTATGGTTAGCTGTATCTGTAAATACGATATGTTCTTCAAACTAATGCATTTCTTCTTCCAATGCATTCTATATATGCCTGTTAATAATCTAAGTTTTTTTTTATACTTTAAAAATCAGGATCTGACAGACGCAGAAACTGTTACAGCATGCAAGGCAGTAGTATAAAATTAAACGAATAAGTAAATAAATGAATAAAAAAACGGAGAAAGAAAAATGTTTAAACATGAAAAGTAAAATAAAATAGAATAAAATAAAAAAATAATAATAATAAAATAAGTAAAAGAAAATAAAATAAATTTGCAATAAAATGAAGTAATGGCATAAAAAGGCAAATAAATAGACTAGATGATGACTTAGTGAGTTAGAGACGTGATCGATAAATAAAAACTAGTTGTGTGAATGATAAAGTTTTATTAAATAAAAACTTGTTGTTTGAATGATGAAGTTTTATTGAGTGTTAATATGTTTGAGGTGTCTTGTGATGAAAGTCTTTTCCTGATATGTAGATTGGGTGGCGACTTGATAGTTAGGCTTGCGTTGACGAAGGTTGTATGTTGTAGTTTTAATTGGTGGTAGTAGATGATGGATGACGTGGTTATGCATTCACCTACATATCTCATGGTGTATTACTTATTTCATTAAAAGTATAGTATTTGTAATATGGCTGGTACTTATTGCGTCAGAATTTCTATTTGGCAATAGTTTATTAAGATGTCAGTACATTTAACATTAGCTATCAAAAGAAAAGTTATGTTAACGCAAATAATAATTCACAGTTAGTAAAAAAAATTAAAAATTATATTAGTAGTTCCACTTTTCTTGGTTTGTGAACTTGTGATACATGCATGGCAATCACTCATTTCAACAGTTCTTTCAAATTATTTTTTCAAATCAGCAAATTTATCCAAATGCGTTTTATGCTACTAATTGTGGAAAACAGAATATATGATGACTGAAAAGGCTTGCTTTTTAACTGGCTTGGGTTGATTGTCGCTACCAGTGGCAGGACAAGAAGAGCCGGGAAGTGCTCCCCTGTAGTGTGCAGTGGTTGTATTTTGTATTAAAAGTCGAAAAAAGTGACGTGGTAAACCAAAAAATGTCTGCGTAATCTTGGTCCCTCCTCAGTCAAAATGTTGGCCTCCCGTTCACCGGTAAACTTTTAGATAATTTTGAAATCCCCCCCGGTCAGCGTCGTTTATTGATGCAATTTCGTATTATGAGGGTGGCGTGATATTAAGTGGAATTGAAGGTTCGTCGAGTTTTTGTGACCATTTTGGCAAACTGACGGTTGCGTTGTGGGTCGTTGAGAATCGAACTAAAATCGGCTATGTGGGGCCCTGCAGCCAACCTAAGCGCAAGAGCCTGGTTCCAATTTACTGACGATTCAGCAATAATCGCGAATAGCAATAAAGGTGCACAAAAGCTAATTGATCTCAACTAGGCTTGGAGTGAAGCTACCGGAATGAAAATGAAGATTGACAAGTGTTGCACATTCGGCATGAGAAAAAAAATGGAATCTACGAACAATTTCGGCCGAGGTTAACAATTAATGGAACTGTCATTCCTCAGATCCGCATGGCTGAACACTTTCAATGTCTAAATAAATACTACGATTTCGATTGATTGCGTCACTAACGCTAAAAATTCGATGCTCGATAAACTGAAAAGTATGCTGTTGATTATTTCTAAACTCGACACCACAGCTCAATGGAAGCTTGCAATCTTAAGACGTTACATCCCATCTCAACTAGCATTTGGCTGAGGATTTAAAATCCGAGCAACAAGAAATTGAATTCACCCACCTCACATCTCTAAGTTGGCAAGGTATAGTGATGAAGTTAGCAAAGAGTATATAAGCGCGTTTCAAATCAATTGTTGGTCGAAAACGACAGCCACGCTTCCAGAGGTAATTTTTAAATTTGCAAGAAAAGCTATCATTCAGCAGCTGCCAACAAACTCCAATCTGGTCATATGGCAGATCTTCTAACGCTCAATGTCAAGCAAACGAACAAACATGTTATGTATAATTGCGGCTCAACGTCAGCTTTATAAAGATGCACGATTCGACACAACGTAATTTTAACAATAATTTTAGAAATCATCAATAAGTGTGCAAATTCAGAAGTTTTGATATTTGCCGATTTGAATAATAATAATAATGTCATTTATGAGCGCCCTATGCATAGCGTAAGAGGCGCCCGGATAAACAAATGTCAGCACGGCCGCCAAAGGCCTGTTCAAACAGATGCTGCTTCAATCGCTTTTTAAACGTTTCTATTGATGATTGTTGACGGATGATGAGTGGCAAACTGTTCCATATTGATGGTGAGCAATGTGAAAAGCCTTTATTGACGAGAGTTTAGGTATTGACTGGTTGATGCAGTTGCAATGATGACGGCAGACGAAGGTGATGGCGATGATTACCAGCTGAGTGAAGGCGAATGAGTTTGTGAAAATATGATGGTTGAGATGTGTTGAGTATTTTATATGTGATGACAGCAATTTTATACTTAATGCGTTGAGGAATCGGCAGCCAGAGCAGATGAGCAAGAGATGTTGAACAAGTTATGTCTAACTGCGGCTCAACGTCAGTTTTAAAAAGATGCACGATTCGACACAACGTAATTTTAACAATAATTTTAAAAATCGTCAAAAAGTGCAACGAGGTAATTCTAAAACAAGTTTAGCTAATCTGTTTTAAATGATCTGAATAGAGGAAATTAGATACGCCTGAGTGCCATATAACAGAGAGTTGCAGTAGTTGAGGCGAGATAATACAAGGCAGCGTGCTGGCGTGGAGGCCATTTCGACTGTGAGAAAAGGTCGAATATGGCGAATAGACCAAATAATGTAATTACATATTTTATGAATTATGAAGATTGCCGCCGAGTTTCAGCACTTTTCAAGTCTGCGTCCGGATATTGTTCTGGCTCTCAATGACATTATCGTAGTTTTAGAATCAACTGTGTCATAAAACAAATTTGACAAAGTCGAATGATTTTATAATTAACAAATATAATCAAAGTTTGCATTTAAATCTAAAAAGCGAATGCAGTAACTTTTAACAAGAACTTGTGAAATTTCTGTATTAGGATTTTATAATACTTTTAATTTATCGCTAGTCGATTAGTTTGGTCTAAATATTTTAATAAATTCTGTTTTATCATCAACATATTCAATGTACTGTGACAGAAATACTGAATGAATTCCATTTTAAACCAACATGTTCTATTATTACTTATTCATACTGAATTACGAGCGAAATAGACTACCAGTTTTTATTAATTTTAACTCTCTTTTTTATTTTTTTTTATCATTTTTATTATATTGGTAGTTTTTTTTATTGAATAAAAATCAGTGTTTACACAGATTTTTATTTATGCAAACAAACAGGAATGGAATTTCTTATTTTGAAATACCGATTAATTTTTAAATAAAGTTGTTGAGTGATTTGTGTAAATATCGGAAAATTATTAAAACATCGGCTATCAAGACATTGAGACTGGCTTTATTTTTTCTAGTGTTTTCGTTGTTGCAAGTTCTAGAGTGTATTTTTTTATGCCAGGTCCTGCCAACAATCATCAATCATCTTCCTTTGCAAGAAGATTTAGAGGAGCACATTACAGTATTTCAGAGTTTTGCATCTTTGTATGCCCAGAGGAATGTTGCTGTATGTTCTAATTTTTTCTATTCCAAAAATAATATAATTGCATCGATGAATATATATATATATATATATACCTTATACAATTTATTTTGTTTATTACTGCTAATCAGCAGCTTAAAAGCTCTTAGTTCGATATTGTGTTTGAATTTAATTAGATTTTGAACCATTTAGATATTGCCTCATCTACCTCAAGTTTTGGTCATTATTGGCAATCTCCTTGTCACAAAACCAAAACCTGGTTGGTACTTTCGTTTTATTTATTTATATCAGAAGATTGTATTCGTGAACAAAAAAACTTATGTAGTTCATTAAATTTTTTATGGTTTGAATTATTTCTATGCAGAACTAGAAAAGATTTTGAAAGATTTTGTCAATGAAATATATGCCAACTCACCCGATGTCTTTCAGGCTGTGCCGTCATCCGACGCTGATTTGATAAACCGTCTGAAGAGCTGTATCAAGCTGCCTTAATTGAAAATTATAACTAATTAAACTTGATGGGAATTTTTCAAAAATATAAGTCAAAAATCTTTATTGGTGCATTTTATTTTTTGCTCGTTGTACTAATAATTTCTACCCAAATGCTGTTGTCCACCTTGCACAATTTGAAATATATAAACGAAACCCAAGTTAAATTAGAGAAGGCCAAGTACTGAAAAAATAGTAATCGAATTATGTCTATCTGACATTCTTTATCGAGTTTTGCCGCTAATAATATTCAAAAATCGAGCGGCGTGATATCGTAATGGTTAAAAGCGCCTGGTCTCTCTATAGTAGTAACTGAGTTTGAATGTAAAGAGATATCGTAATTGGGTTTGAATGTAGATAGATCCGCGCCTTTTTATGCAATGTGGAGATGCACAGGAGACAAGTAAACCATCTCACCACGACCTAAAGTGTGCTTCTGTGAAAACCTTGCCCGTTTTAGGCGAAACGCATTTCGTCTTGTGGGACTCTTCAGTAGCCTGAGTTAAAACATCAACTTAGTGCATTTATTTTCTTTGTAGATAATAGTGTGAGATGGTGCAAGTGCATCAATAGCCATATTAAGTTGCGTTTCTTGAACACTTCGTTTGATAGAGTTTTACATAGTGTTTAGCCCATCTTTCCAATTGAGATGTACCAATGCCTGTAAGTTCCTTTGTTTGGATTCTCTTTTGTAAGTTATCAAAGCTCTGTTTTTTCTAGCAATTTTCATTTTTGACAAGTTAGCTTCGTACTAATCCTAATTTTTTATTAAAAGACCACGGACTGGAAGCAACATCGTGGATGACCGCGATGATAACATTTTTAAATGTTGATAGACGCTTAAATCCGGCCACCAAATCCGTCCGGGGCCGAATTTAAAAAAAGCCGGATTTTAGCCGGGACCGAACTTCGGTGCATCCCTACTATATATTATTGTAATTTTTTTATTATTCTTTAAAAAATCAGGATCTGACAGACGCAGAAACTGTTATAGCACGCAAGGCATTAGTATAAAATTAAACAAAAAAATAAACGAGTAAATAAATATATAAATAAAAAAACAGAGAAAGAAAAATGCATTGAATACCTTTCACATCTACCTTTCTTTATTTTATAATCGAACTTACAATGTAACCTCTTAATTTAATTTTATTATATTCCATATTAATTTTAATGTTATCTCGTATTAATGTAAACCCCTTCCCTTTAACACAAAATACTATTTTAGACTCTGAAGATGGAGCCCACGCCGAAACAACGTTGTAAGCCTGATTATGGCACATTTATTGAGTAAATACGAATTGAACCAATTACGAGTTGTTGAATGTATTATAAAAAAGTTGATTAATGCAAAATGGGCAAAAATATTTAATGGTTTATATATATATAAATAAATTGCCATCGGAAATCTTTTTAAAGTGCGCTTACAAACACATGTCATATATATATATCGAAATCCATCATAGATACACCGCCCCTTGGTTTTTATTTGAAAAATTTGGACCTATCGCATTCCTAATTTTTATTTATCTTTTCATATTTTTTTTTTATTTTAAGCTTTTTCCTTTGAACGTCTGACTGGTTTGGCAAACCCAGAGGCCACAAAGTGGTTTTTCCAGCAATATTTATTTATAGTCAACAGTTTAAATGGACACATAAGCTCCTCCCCCGGTGCAACTAAAAGTCGAACTAAATAACAATAGCAAAGTCGTTAGCTGGTAAAATGAAGCCGTATTCCCAAAATATATTTAAAAATCAAGTTTGCCCTACACATATATATAGAGTATATATTATATATTTTATACTCTGTATATATTGCCCTACATAAGTTTAATTTTAACATAAATTAAAAAATAATGCAATAAGGAAATATAATTTTTGTAAATTTAACCTGTTGAGTACATCGAGGTGTATTATATCTATTGAGGTTTATCCATGGGTATTACTAAGTCATATAGGTATATAAGTTGAGGTTTAAATATGGTTATTTTATAATTTCATAAGTTAAAATATAATGGCGTAATGGTCTAATGGTTAAGGTCGCCTGGTGCTGTCTCTCAGTTACCGGGTTAGAATATGATAAAAAGATCCCGCCTATCACATGCTTCGTGTGTGATGCGTCGTTTAGCACGTATTCATTTACGATGTTTGTGCGCGTTGTTGAGTGCAACTGACCTTTAACTTTTTAACCTTTATAATAATTATATAAGCACAACTTGGTTGAACATTATAGGAATTGAGCTATAACATGGGTGATTAAAATTTAGATTGATTTTGATCTGAAAGCGTTGAAAAGTAGATTACATTGTCAAACGTTTTTTATTCTTGTTTTTTCTTTTTAAACTCAATAAGAATTATAAAATAAAAATTATGAAAAAACCATTTAATTTTCTTTTGATGTTCGTATAATCAGCGGAAAAATAATTCTAGCATTTATGCCCGTGCATGTTGAGTTATAACAGTACGATTTTTCGTTGTTAATTAAGCAAATGAACACACAAACAACAAATTTTAAAACATTTAAAAAACCGCCCGTTTGCGAGTATAATGACAGTTATGTACACTGACGGTCCCTAGGCAACGAACAAAAAGCTCTATTTAGTTTAATTATTAGTTGCACCGTGGGAGGGGCTTATGTGTTTGTTGACTATAAATAAATATTGCTGGGAAGACCAGCTTGTGGTCTCCGAGTTGTATCTTGTTTATTTATTTATTTATTTTATATTATAAATTATTTTATCACAATGTTAATGGCGTTCGTTATGTATAACTATAAATTTTTTTCGTGTTTCGGTATAGAAAAATTTAGGTATTTACACCATATTAATAAAACGTTTGATTTGATATTCATTAAATAATTTATGACTGTTTTGAAAATCTAAATATTGATTATTGACGATCAACGTTCGGATTTTTTTTATTATGCCTCAATCCATGGACTTGACGATAGATAACGATGGATATGAAGCACCATACTATAGAAGATCAAGTTTCCCTGTTATAGAATATCACATGCTAGATAAACAAAAATATTATCCATTGGTTGCTCTCAGTGGTGTCGCTGTTAGGTCAGTTGTTTATCCACTTACATTGATCAAAACACGGATGCAAGTCCAAAAATCCAAAGTACTCTACAATGGTACTTTTGAAGCTATCAATCAGATTATTAAATATGAAGGCGTGCAGGGACTCTATTCCGGATTTTTGATCCATAACTGCTCCATGCTTAGTCAAATAATATTTTTGAGTACTTATGAAAAAATACGACACATCCTTGCAGAAAAACATTCCTTTAAAAGTAACCAGCAAAGATCATTTATAGCTGGTGGACTGGCTTGTGCAATTGCTCAGACTGTAGTGGTTCCTATAGACATTATTACTCAACATCTACAAACAAAATCTGTATACAAAGAACTACATTCTTCAAAAGGGAAAAGTTGTGCAAATGGGAATGTACATGATTCTAATTCTAAAAACGAAAACGTTAACTGTAAGCAGCTTTCAAGAAATATATCTTCAGTAGTACCTATTTCACAGAAGTGTAATAATAAAAATTATGATTACCAGAGATATGTTTGTACCAATGCTACTAAAAGAGATGAATTTAAACAAACTGATTATAAAAATGCTAGAAAGGTCATAATCACAATATTTAAAAAGCACGGCCTAGCAGGTAAAATTAATTGATTTTTTTGCATTCAGTGTTTATCATTTATTTGTTTTGATGAAAGGTTTTTACAAAGGATTTATACTTTCTGTGATAACTTATAGTCCTACATCAGCAGTATGGTGGTTAACATATGATACATTCTGTGGTGAGTGTTTTTTTCATTACATCTGCTCATTGACATTTTTTCTTTTTTTTTGCCTGCAGTAAATATTGCATGTCCAGGGTAAAATACCATAATATGTCTTTTTTGCTTAGTCTTTGCTATTATCGCTGTATAGTATAGATTACTAGGTTTATGATAAATGCTGTTGCTTCTCTTGCAAGACATCCTAAATGCATAGTTATAATTTAAGTCTGAGAAGAAAGTGGAAAATTAAATTTCTTTTTACAGCATTTGAAAATTTGAAGATATATTATTTCATAAAGTTTTTTATAAATTATGTTTATCGGTATGATATTAAAGGTGAGCATAATACATGTGCTCAGAGAATTACAAGTGAGCCATGTTTACCCAGGATTGGATTATTTTTAAAAACATTGAAGTTGTTCATTATGCATGGATTGAATTATTTCATGAAATTTTTGCTCTACAGACCAAAATTTTGTTGTTAATATGTTTTAAAATTTTGTGAAAGTTCAACTGCGATATATTGTTCACAAAACTCTTGATTTAGTATCAGTTGATGAATGATACTGTGACAACCGCAATTAAATATATTTTTTTGTTGAAAATTATTTATATTTATCAGTATTCAGTCCTTAGCAATTCTCTGAGGTTGAATGGGCCTTCTGGAAAAGGTATGTCTTCTGTTCTTCCATAAACGCATCAACTGAAGCAATCTCGCATAACTCAACTGGTAATGAGTTCCAAACTGTCAAAACTGACACAGTCACACTTAATTCTTCCTATTGTTGCTTATGCTCCTGAAACTAACATTAATTTGTTCGCTACTGATATAAGCAGTAATCTTGATGGTAAATTCCCCATCAATTTACAAACCTCATCAAAGTAGCTTAGTATTTTACCCTATCATTGCTATCTTGAATACCACCCTCTGTTTTACCAACAACCAATGCAGACCACATCAGGGAAATATAATATATGCCATCTACCAACCAGAGTTTGTCAGAGGTCAGAGCCGGAGATTTTTGCCGGAGTAGAAATTTTTTGAGGGATTGGAGTCCGATTTGTTCATCTGAATCTGGAAAATGTTATTAATTAAAAAAAAATTTTCTGAAAATTTTATAGAAGATAAATATGTGTAGAGATATATAACCATATGCAAAAGTACTGAAAATAAATGCCAATAATGTGAATAAAATAATATAACTTTTTTCAGTATGTTTTAAAACAGAATACAGTGATTTTACTAAGAAACACAATTACACTGACTGATTTTTATTGTTTTTTAAAGTATTTTTTGGTAGTGATAATAAGGTGAAATTATGATGCAAAAGTTGAAAAATTTATCTGGAAGTCGGAACCCGGAGTCAAAAATTTTTATCCGGAGTTGGAGTCAGTCAGAATTTTTGAGGGGCCAGAGTCGGAATTTTGAGGGATCAGAGGCGAATATTTGTAATCCTTCTCCGACACTGGTACCAACGCCAGTCACCATCATTCTGAATCAACCGCATTGTTTACAACACTACTGCATTAGTATAAACAACAAGCCATTACATTAATCAAATCTTGGCATAATGAACACTACCAGAACACATTACTTGACAGGCATTTTTTCATCTGTTACAATCTTTTCATCTGATATTAGCATGCCTTAGCCTGTTGTCACTCATGAAACAATAAATGTCCGCTTTTGATCAAATATAACCCCCCATTTCTTACCAAGATTAAGCTTTTAAGCTTCAATTTATTTGACAATAGTCCAGCACGATCATCGATATACATGCTGCAATTCTCGTCAATATCATTAGAACCTCACCAATACATTCTGAACGGTAGACCTGGAGATCATCTGCATGCGTACATTTGTGCCAAGTAACCAGATTTTTTTCACTTTAAAGATCAGAAACATACACTAGTTAAAGTTGTGGGCCAAGCACCAACTCTTGTGGAATCCCAACCACAAAATTTGTTTCTCTGACTAACCACCCACAAGAAATGTCTTTTGATACCTTTCCATCGAAACCCTTGCAGCCAATCCAACGACCTTGACAAAGGCGAGAAAACAAAATAAACGTGATGGCTCAATGATTAAAGGCGCCTGGTCTTGCTGCTGCAGTGACTGGGTTCGAATACAAAGAGATCCCCGCCTATCATATGCAATGTGTATGATGCGTGGTTTTCACGCGTATTTATATACGCTGTGTGTGTTTGTCGTTGAAACTTCTAAAGCAAGCGTAAGAGAGAGTAACCTTTAACCTTTTTTAACAGTGTCAAATGCTGAGCTAAGGTGAAAAAACGCCTGAAGAACGATTTTTTCTTATTAGCTTTGGAAGCAATGCAACTAAATACCGTCAAAAAGGAGCCGTTTTCGTTGAAGAAAACGGTTTATAGGCAGCGGTCTAGAGCGTACAAAATGGACAAAAACTAATCTAAGACAATACGCTGGAAAATTTTAAATAAAAGCATGTACGAGACCGGATGATAAATAATTAGCCATCACATTTAGGTTCAAACCACTTTTTTATCAAAGGCACAGCAATAACCGATTTGAGACCGATTAGTAGCAGAATATTCGAAATTTGATTCAATTTCAGCTTATATCGGAAATGAGCTACACTGGGTTCGTATGCCAGAAAAAGTTAAATTTAAATTAACTCTCCTTCTCAGAGATTCATTGACCGGCTCAAAATCCGATGTAATCTAAAAATTCTATCCAATTTGGCATGCTTCAGTCCTAACTTGTGTTTTACTAGTGGTAGGCGATGTTTTTGTGCTTTAGCACAAGATATACGTAAAAACTTAAAAAGCATTGGGTATTTGGCGTATACTATCGTGTGCCATCCTCTAAAATTCTGCTTAAAATTATTAAATTGTTTTGCCCATATAAATTATAACTTGCAGTTTGTGCATTGTCATTATTAAGCATAAATTGTATGTATTTTTAATTAAATGATATAGAGCGATTGGTTTAATAATTGGCAATTAATGATCGTTGAGCAGATTTCTTATCAAAGTCAACTCCAGTTTGGTTTCCTAGATTGGTCATTCAGTGTTTAGCTGCGCCACTCAGTGCTGTAACTACAACCATTGCCACAACACCTGTTGATGCTATAAGGACCAGGATTCAAGTTTGTTGTTCCATATGCATCCACAATTTATCAAACATTTTCAGAAAACATAACTGGGAGGGATTGCGTATAAATAAATAGCTTTTAAAGCTAATAATTATATGCCCAGTCAATTCTAGTGGGGGGCAAGATTTAGCATCGACTCATTCGCGCATTAAAACATTATCGTCGATAACGATACTGTTATTAACGTTACTAAGCTTTTTTATTTAAATTATCTATTTTACGAATTAATCCTTTTTATTAAAATCCAAATTAAAATAAGTTCACCACCAAGATATATGTTTTTTATTTGGATTTAAATAAAAAATGGTTAATTCGCAAAATAAAAAATTTAGTTAAAAAGCTTAATAACGTTAATAACTGTATTTTCAACGAATTATGTTTAAAGATATATATATATATATATTATATATATATATCATAGGTCGATGATAGACTATATATTGGTAAGGGCCAAACATAGGAAGTATGTGAAGAATGTGAAGGCGATACCTGGTATGCTGCAGCATAGTATGGTTGTGATGGATGTGACATCAAAAGAAATAGGGAGGAGGAAGAAGGATAAGTTTGTGGCAAAGAGAAAGACATGGAAGTTGCAGGATGCAGAGGTGAGGAAGGCATTTGAAGTGAAGGTGGCTGAAAATTGGGAAAGTGGTAAAGATGGAGATGTTTGGGAGAGATACAGGGACTGTGTGTTGGCTACGGCAGATAAAGTATGTGGATGGACGAAAGGAAAGTGTAGACACGGTGAGACGTGGTGGTGGGATGAAGATATAAGAAGGGTTTTGGAGATCAAGAAGGAGAGGTTTAGGGTATGGAGAAGGGACATGACGGAGGAAGCGGAGTCTGAGTATAGGAAGGCTAAGAAGGTTGCAAAACAGGCAGCGGCAACTGCAATGACGAAAGCATCAGATAGGTTAATGAAGTAAATGGAATTTGATGTGAGTTCGAGGAAAATGTTCAAAGTAGCAAAGCAGTCAATGAGGGATAGGAAAGATGTTATAGGGAATGGATGTGTTTGGGATGGATCTGGCAAGTTGTGCATAGATGAGGAGGAAAAAGCTCAGGTGTGGAAAGCTCATATGGAAAGGTTGATGAATGAAGAGAATGAGTGGGATGGAGATGTGGAATCCGCGGTCACACACGGACCTATAGAGAAGGTGACGATGGAGGAAGTAGAGAAAGCAGTTAGAGAAATGAAAATAGGTAAGGCGACAGGGGTTTCGGAAGTGGCAGCAAAGCGAGTGGGGTGATAGGAATTGAAGTTATGATGAGAATTGCTAACAGTATGTTTGATGATGAAGGTATACCTGAGGATTGGCGACACAGTGTGTTGGTGCCGTTGTATAAGGGCAAAGGAGATGTGAGAGATTGTGGGTCATATAGGGGTGTGAAATTGCTAGAGCACGGAATGAAGGTAGTGGAGAGGAGGTTGAGAAATATGGTGACAGTTAATGAAATGCAGCGTGGGTTTATGCCTGGTAGTGAAACGGTGGATGCGTTGTTCATGGTGAGAATGTTGCAGGAGAATTACAGAAAGAAGAAACGAAGATTGTACATGTGTTTTGTGGATCTAGAAAAGGCTTTTGATCAAGTACCGAGGAAGGTCATTGAATGGGCGTTGAGGAAAAAAGGAGTGAATGAGAGACTTGTTAAAGCTGTGATGCAGCTGTATGAAGGGGCAAAGACAAAGGTGAGGGTTGGAAGGGGGATGTCGGACGCTTTTAGTGTTAAGGTAGGAGTGCATCAAGGATCAGTGTTATCACCGTTTCTGTTTGCAATTGTGATGGATGTTGTGTGTGGATACATAATGGAGGAGTTGTTTTTTGAGATTTTGTTTGAGATGATTTAGTCTTGATGGCTGATAGCATGGAAGAATTGCAGTTAAAATTTGACAGATGGAAAAGTGTTATTGAAAAGAAAGGGTTAAAAGTTAATATTGGTAAGACGAAGGTAATGGTGAGTGGGGAAGGTGGGGAGCGAGTGATAAGTAAAATAGACCCCTGTGGGGTATGTGACAGGAGAGTGAAGGCTAACTCGGTATTGTATATAGGATGTCAGAAATGGGTGCATAAGAGATGTAGTGGTGTGAGGAGGGCACTGAAAAAGGTGGAAGGCACGTTCAAATGTAAGAAATGTGTTCATGGTGTGATTAATAGGACGGACGCAAGGACGGGGTTGAGTGGTGGTATTGAAAGAGTGGAAAGCTTGGTTTACTTAGGGGATAAGCTGAACGCGGATGGAGGATGTTTGAGCGCAGTTACGGCTAGAGTTCGTGTGGGATGGATGAAATTTAAGGAACTGGGTGGGGTATTGTGTGGAAAGAAATGGTCAGTGAAGATGAAAGGGAGGGTATATAAAGCATGTGTGAGAGCAGCGATGGTATATGGTGGTGAAACTTGGGTGTTGAGGAGAGAGAAGGAAAGTGTACTGCAGAGGGCTGAAAGAGCTATGGTGGGGATGATGTGTGGGGTTAAAGTGAAGGATAGGAGGAGTAGTACAGAGCTGATGTCAATGATGGGACTGAATGAGGACATTGTGACATTGATAAGGGGATCGAGATTGCGGTTGTATGGACATGTGTTGAGAAGGGATGAAAGGGTCGGGATTAGGCGAGCGTTGGAGTTCGAGGTTGAAGGAGTGGTAGGAAGGGGTCGTCCGCGATTGGGATGGAGAGAGCAGGTGGAGAAGGACAGGGTGAAAGCGGGGTTGCGTGATACTGAGGTGAGTGACAGATGTGAATGGCGTCGAGGAGTATTTCGGTTTCATCATAGGTAGCCAAACGGCAACCCCCGATCTCGGGAAAAATGTCGTTTAAACGTGTGTTTGTTTTGTTTGTTTATATATATATATATATCTTATATATATATATATTTATATATATATCTATATATATATATATATATATATATATATATATATATATATAAGTTATTCAGCGTATTATTATAAAATAGCTTTTTTCGGTAATCCTATATGTAATTGTATATATATATATATTTTTACAATATTCTATAAATTCTACCGAATGTTTGGCCTTAACATGTTTGTAGTTATTTATAAATTCTTTCCGGCATAAGTTTAGTTCATTCTTGACATTCGGTTGAATTTATAGAATATTGTAAAATTTATGGTCTATTACCAACATATATATATATATATATATATATATATATATATATATACCCGCCATAGGCCAGACGTACTTTGTTTCGTCTCTCACGAGACTCGTCAGTAGCTTGCCAAATAAGGTTTAAGATAAAACAACTCATTTATTGTAACCAAGAAACTCAAATTGAGGTGTCGCGACCTTTAGGCAAGAACAACATCACGTTGCTTCAAGTTTTAAGAACCCATTCAATTGCAAGAGGTATTATTGGTAAACCATTACCCCCCATATATAATATGTTTTTTGGAACGAGGTTTTCATTCATACATATTAGGGATGCACCGAAGTTCGGCCCCGGCCAAAATCCGGCTTTTTTTTCAAATCCGGTTGAAAAACCTGAATCTGGTGCATCCCTAAATTACATATATCATATATAGTTGCCAATTTTGCGTTTTTTTTTTCATGAGAACCCAATACATCAAAGTTTTTGTAATTCATATTTATTAATAATTTTTGTTATAATTATGCTAACAACGTTTTTTCATATATATGTATCCATATAAACGCACACACACACACACACACACACACACACACACACATATATATATATATATACATGTATATATTTATTTATTTATTTGAACAAAGCACGGGTTATTGCCCATTACCGAATTTACAGGAAAAAAAAATACATAGTATTATACATGCATACCACGATACATTCGTACAATTGCTTCACAAGTATAACCACGAAGATAATGCATTATACCATGGCAGATTGAAAATAATTTCCAAAAACAATAAATTAACACTAACAGTGTCTTGAGTGTCACCATAAATGCAAATTTATAAACCAAGATATAATAAAATACTTTATCCATCTAACCCCATTAATCCCATCCTACACCTGAATAGCATAAAATTAACTACACATTTCCCATGCAATAGAAAAAATAAACAAACATTCATGCATCCATCTAATTTCCTTAACCTCCCCTACCCATATACCAACTCATATACCCACCTACTCATGAATCATTAATTATTATATCAGATAATTATATTAGAACCTAGAAATTTCATTAACTATTCATTTACCAATCAATGAAAAAAAACCAAACAATCA